TTACCCTTGACCTCCTTCCAACAGTCTCACATTCTTTCCTTTTCCCTTACAAAAGTTTTCTTTCTTTCTTTCTTTCTTTCTTTCTTTCTTTCTTTCTTACTTTTGGGTAACTCCTGTGATGCTCAGGAGTTTCTCCTGGATCTGCACTCAGGAATCATTCCTGGTGGTGCTTGGGGGACGTTATGGGATGCTGGCAATTGAATTTGTGTTGGCCGCGTGCAAGGGAACTGCCCAGCCCACTGTACTATATAGCTCAGGCCCCAAGTTTCTTCATTACAGTTGTGTATTTGCTTGTTTACATTATATCTTTATCCCTAGTATATAGCTTTCATGGAGGCAGTGACTTTTTCTTACTAGGCTTTTCTAGACTAAATGACTAAAATATATTAGACTCTTAGTAAATAGTTCAATGATTCATCCATTAAAGAACAAGTGGATGTTTCATGACCTGGAACTAAGCAGGAAGGTCAGCTAAGTCTGTGTTTTTGGTTCTTCTTGTGCTTAGAGCTCTCAGGCCTCCTGGGCAGTGGACTGTCCTTGGAAAGCAGTTGCTCAGCCCTTTGAACTCTCTCTGGTCAGATTCTTATCTCATGTTCTTTGATAACTTTGCTGATCGAATTTTTCTCTGATACAAAGTTCCTGATACAGGGCCTGAGACAGCACAGCAGATCAGGTGCTTGCTTTGCACACTGCTGGCCCTGGATTCAGTCCCTGACCTCCCATATCTTTCCCTGAGTACCATCAGGAATGATCCCTGAGTGCAGAGCCAGGAGCAAGTCCTGAACACTGCTGGGTGTGGCCAAAAAACTAATAAATAGATTTTTAAAAACTTTCTAATAACTTTTCTTAATGTCAGCATTTTTCTTTGTCCTTGTCTTCTCCGGTCACACTTGGTGGTGCCCAGGGCCTTCTCTGGGCTTATGCTTTGGTGTTGCTGCTGGCTATGTTTAGGGTACCATATGGTGGCAGAGATTGAATCTGGGTTTCCAGTGTGCAAAGCCCTTTGAGTTATCTCCCCGGCCCAATGTCGACATTCTTTCCCCATTCCACTTCAGTGATTGTGCTTATATTATAGGGAGATATGGAAAATATCCAGGTGTTGACTAGGAGAAGAGAGAACAAAAGATATGTAAAGAGGTATTTTATCTTTCTCAAAGACTATTGGAAAAGTGTTAGGACCATGAACAGAACAGAGACGGTAAAGTTCCATCCCTCTTGTTCCTAACATGTAGAGCTTTCACTTTGTGTCACGTACTATTGTAAATGCTTTACATGAGGGAACTCAGTGCACACAGCTCCACACAACACACATGTGTACAACCCAACCCCCAGCTCTAACTCTTCCCTGGCTACTACTCCAAGAGTGAAGTAGGCACACAGGAAGGAAAGGTTGCCAGGACCTGGGAAACAGTTACACGCATCCTCTGCTTCTAGACTCCCGGGTAGGATTGTCACTGAGATCCTGAATGGGTTTGCCTGATGGCTGTTTCCACCGTTACAGGTTTCAGAAACTTAAAAGAAAAACATGAAGATAAGGGGAGAACAGTTTGAGAAAGCCTGGTGTAAGAGGCTTGCTTTGAGTTTAAGTGTGCTTTGACAGTATTTGTCAGGGACAAGATAGCCCGCTTTGGCTATGGAAGGAAAAGTCTGGAGGTGAACTGCAGGTTCCTTGGATTCTTGGCGTCTTGGTCTGGGACAGCTAGCACATGTACGTTTCTGTTTGTTTTGGGCCACACTTGGTGGTGCTCAAGAGCTTCACCTAAAACACTGCTCAGGGGTCATTTTAGTCCTGATGGTACTTGGGGCACCATGCAGTGTAAGAAATAGAACCTGGGTCTCCCACAGTCAAAACATAAACATGAGCTCTTTGAACCGCCTCTTTGGCCCTGTGTGTTTTAACTCACTTAATGTCTATAACCCTATGCGTACAACACACAGCACACCTGAACTCAAGTGTCTTCAGAAATCAAAACAAGGTCTTGGTGTTTCCTCCTCAAAGGGCTGGTGACCTATGATCTAAGGATACTTTTAACACTGTTACTTTTTGGTGAGCAGAAAAAATCTTTCACCTGCTTTGTGGGGTGGGGATTGCTTACCTGTGGATTTATTTGCGATTTGGCCCAGAATTCATCCATCTTGCCTGCCTGCTGGAGATGGCAGGGTTTGAGGTCTGACCCATTTCCATTGCCTGCTAGAGTATATTCTCAGAGACAAATGAATTCACAGGCCAGGACAGAAAGACATTTGAAAAGCACAACTGTTTCATAAGAGCAATGTTTTGCTGGGCTATTTGCAGATCCTGTCAGACGTGGAAAGATATTTTTTGAACAATTTTTTTTTTTTTGCTTTTTGGGTCACACCTGGTGATACACAGGGGTTACTCCTGGCTCTGCACTCAGGAATTACTCCTGGCGTTGCTCAGGGAACCATATGGGATGCTGGGAATCGAACCCGGGTTGGCTGCATCCAAGGCAAACGCCCTACCCACTGTGCTATCGTTCTAGCCCCTTTAAACAACTTTTAAATAGACTAAATATATATGTATATATATGTATATATATATATACTAAAAGATATCAAAGGAGGATATTCATAAGAAAGCAATAAGAAGAAAACATAAAAAGAACCAAACACAAATAATAGGTATGAAAACATACACTAGTTTAAATAAATAACTAAATATAGGGAGTCAAGAGCAGAATACTCAGGCCTGGAAAACAGAGTTGAGATTCTGAAGATTCAAATAGAAGCTTTAGCATCTGAATTATAGGAGACCCAGAAAGGAGAAAATACAAGTGGTAGTGGGAGTAAATTTTTGAAGAATTAATGGAGAAAATTTTCTTACACTTGACAAAATAATATGAAATGGCCCAATCTGAAAGCGATTGTGTCAAAGACAACAGAGAAGGAAAACCCTGCCGCTCGTTTCCCTCTAGTGAATGTTTTCTTTTTCAATTTTATAAAAGAACCGTGATTTACAAAGTTACTGATGATTAAATTATAGGCATATAATAATTTAACGCCAATCCCTTCACCAGTGTCAACTTCCCTCCACCAGTGTTCTCAGATTCCCTCCCCATCCTGTCCCTTACTCTACCACCTCCCAACCCCTGTCAACTTGACAGGCATATGACAAAGTTTCAGTGGTTGCCACTTAGATCTCATGTTTTCAGTCCTGTTGAATCTATGTTTTGGGTATGTGACTATACCCCTCACTCATGTCACTTGGATAACTGATAACTGAAGCACTGACACCTGTTAACCCATTACTTGTTCTCTTCTCCTCCCCTTGATATCTTTCTTTCTCTGTCTCCTCTCTAAACATTGTCGTCAAGGATGATCTAGGCATCCCCTTATGCTACAATATAGTTTCTCATCCAACATTCTGTATTCTACAGATAAGTGAGATCATCCTTTGTTTGTCTTTCTTCTTTTGACTTACTTCATTCAACACGATAACTTCCAGTTCCATGCATGTTGTAGTAAATTGCATGATTTCATCATTCCTTGTAGCTGCGTAGTATTCCATTGTATATGTATATATATATACCAACTAGTGAACTTTTAGGGCTTGTAAAGACTTAGATAAAACTCCAAAAGTTGACAGAACAGAATATTAGATCATACACAAGAGTGTAAGAAACAAATTGCCATTATATTTTTAACTTAGTCTTCTGTGTTGGAAGAATGGATTTTCAGTTTTTAGTGCTGTATGGCAGATTACTTCCAAACTCAGTGATCTCAAATAATAACTATTTTATCATATCTTAGGATTTGTAGGGAAGGAAATAGGGCAGGGAACAGCAGATAGTTCTACTCTGCATAGGGATGATAAATATTGTTTGGAAATATTTATTTGGTGAACTGCCTGTTGCTTTGTTGGGCAAGACCAGAAATCTCGACTGAGCTGGAAACTGTCTGCCAGACACTTGCATGTGAATTCTATACATGCTGGTGTCTGTTGGCTTAAGGGCATTGATGTCTTCTGAGAAGCACTGGTAGAAGCAGCAAAGGGTGTCCCTAGCCTGGGGAACTCCAGGATGACACTGCCATCATGTTCTCTTGGTCAAGGGATTCACTGTAGCCAGTCCTAATAAGGAAAGAAGCTAATTAAAAAATTTATTTGGTTTTAGGCCGCACACCAGTAGTACACAGGGTTTACTCCTGGTTCTGTGCTCAGGGATCACTCCTGGCAGTCTCAGGATCATATGGGGTTCTGGGTATTAAACTTGGGTTGGCCATGTACAAAGCAAATGCCCTACCCATTCTACTCTTGCTCTGGCCGCGGGAAAGGGGATAATTTAGATTCAACTTTTCTTGGGAGGAGTAGGAAGGAATTTGTGGTAATCTACCACAATTACACAAATACTGCTATTACATTAGTATTAAAGAAGAGGAACTTAGAATCTAAAATAGTGTTACTGATCAAACTGTTCAAATTGAGGCTAGGAAGAATGTTCTGAGGCCTATTGGTGCTTTGCCATAGAAAGATGGGAGCCCTGGGTTTTAGGCCCAGCACTGCATAGTCCCTTGAGCACCACTGAGAGTGACCTCTGAGAATTGAGTCAGGAGTGGTAAAGCCCTCCTCAAACCAAAGGAGAAGTTAAAATACAGTCATAATCATCCAGAATCCAGTCTAAATAATATCACTAAGATGAGGGTTGGACGGATAGAGACCAGTGAACTTGGGAGTGTGGTGCTGAATTTCTTTATCTTATACCGTAGAGGAAGAAAATACTCTTATCTTCAAATAAAGAGAAGAAAACACAGAAGTGGGAGGCATGAGCAATGTGCCCAGGGTCACACGACTGTGGGTGGGGGAGCCAAGTGGAAATCAATGCAGATGTTCTGATATCAGAGTCTGTGTGTCTGTGGGAATGATGCACCATCCTGGGTGGGTGTTAAAGTCTGAGCTAGACCCTCAGGGGTGGAGCCGTGAGCCTTGTGCTGCTCGGGTGCCCTTTCCTCTAGTTTTGGTAATTTATTTTGATTTTTTGCAGGCTGTGACTGGACCACGGGAGGACCCAGTCCTGTGTTTGAACCCAGAGCTGTGAGCCACCTGGTGACATGGCAGGATGGCCGGTGCAGCAGTGGGTTCCTGGCTTCACTGCCACAGCCAGAGTCCCACCTCAGTGTGGCCACAGGGTTTGGCTGTGCCACCATATTCTGGCTTTTGAAAAAAAGGTATGGATGACTATTCTTGAGCCAGCTGCTGGATTTCCAGGGGATGGAGTAGATGGGGCTGGACCTCTCACAGCTCAGCACATGCATGATACTGTCCCTCAGTCAATGTGGCTGAGCACAGGGTGTGGTCATTAGCTCTAGACTTGGTGTGGAACTGCTTCCTGTCACTCAGGGCTTGCCATTGGCTGGCAGATTCTACCCCAGAGGGAGAAAGGAGGGACCAGAGAGAGCAGGGGCCTTCTAAAGGTTCACATGGTGAATTCATGGTGGGGGTCAGGTCTGAGAATGACTGCCATTCTGCTTTCCCAGGCACTATGCTTCCTCCACTGGTCCTTCTTTCTTAAAGACTGACCGTGGTCAGCCTTGCCTGGAGTAGCAATGAGACTGTTGTCCCAGGAAGTCTAGCAATGGGGAAACCACGTATGTGGCAATCTGGGTCCCACCTACCTGTGTCATGTCTAGTGTCCACTATCACTAGCAGTAGCAATGCTTTGAAGTCTATATTAGATCCTGTTGAACTCTTTTTGGTATGAAAAACAGCCCAGAGTTCCTGAAGTCTTATGATGCAGCTGGCACCATCCATGACTACGTGGTTGCCATGCTCTGTGGCTTGCCAAAACCTCTGATGTCCGACCAGAACGCCGCTAGCTGGGGCTATTTCAACACTCAGACGCAGAGCTGGAACCTGGAGATGTAAGTATGAGCATACAGGCAGGCTCCGGTTGAAGAGCAGAATCTCTGAATGAGAGCTTCAGGCAGGCTTTCCTAGTAGGGATCAGAGAGGATCCCCCAGAGGTCAGGGATCAGCTTCTAATTGTGTCCTGTCTGTTCCAGTTGTTCTTGCTGGGCAGCCCCTGGGGAGGGGTGCCACCACCCACTTCATGCCATCCTACTCCACTGCCACAGCCGGCCACCCTCGGAGCAGTCTCCCTCGGCCTCTGTGGCCCCAGGTCCAGTCGATGGACTTCAAAGAAGGACTCTTGTTCTTTAATATATTTTAAAGTAAGAGTAAGGAATGCAAGGTGTAGGCTGAAGGATGTCTTTGAAGTACTTTTTAAATAATCATTTACCTTTTCAGGTCCAGAGTCTGGTGTCCTATAAGTTCACTTCCTTCAGGGCCTAAATTCTGAGTTGTGTAATAAACTCCTGGTAGTTCAGGTAAAGGACTTTCTAGCATGTTTTATAAAATTGGTAGCCCATTGTTCACTAACTCTGAGTGGTCAAGGTATTTGGTATTTGTCCCAAAGCTAGAGTTTAACTTTGGTTTGTTTTGTACTAACCAATAGTAAGTTTGCACTGAAATGCCCACTGTCTCCCTTTGAAAAATATTTTCCTTGGAACACCAGAAGCTGAATGCTGATATCTCCCTTTTACCTAATCCTTTCCAATGACCCTTGCTTAAGCTGCTTGTTTTCTTCCCTGTCAGGTCAATCTCAAATGTTTGAAAGTCAGTTTTCTCTCTTTTAAATAATCTAAGCCTGCAGGGCTGGAGAGATAGTGCATGCCTTAAGGTGACTGCTGCTGATCCTGATTTGATTCCCGCACATATGGTCTTCCAAGCATCCCTGGGAACAGCCCTAGAAGTCCTGCATCTCCTGGGATTGGGGATATGCAGGTTGGCCTGGGAAATCCCTGACACCACAGTGCCCACCCTCTGCCCTCTTTGGCCTGTGGGCTCCCTTGGCCCCTAAAATCCCAGACCAATTCATGCCTATGGTTCTTGATTTTAAAAGTATCCAAGAGATCCCTCAGTGGAAATACTAAAGTTGGTTTCCCCTTTCTCTGTGCATCCTTGAGAACTTCTCTTTTGCTGTGTTTTCTGGAAATGACAAAGAGCGGAAACCCCAGCAGGGGCTAAATGTGGTGTCCATTTCTGCCTTTCAGACTGAGGGCCTCAGGCTTTCCTGTCCACCTGCTCCCTGACATCTCTGAGCCCGGCAGTGTTGCAGGCAGAACTTCCAGCACCTGGTTTGAAATCCCCCAGGGCACTCCAGTGGGTGTGGCCCTGGGTGATCTCCAGGCCTCCGTCTATTCCTGTATGACCTGTAGGACAGATGCAGGTAAATCTTTGTTCACTCCTGAGATGTTTACCAGAGCCCCTTAAGCTCCAACTCTGTGTGAGGGGCTGAGGGCACAGACAATAGCTGTAGCAATCTGTATACAGTTATTTTATGAAGATGAAATATAACCTCATCCTCTGCTCCAGGAGTTTACAAAGTAAATTTTTTTTTCGGTTTTAGCCTACACCCAGTGATTGTTAGGGTTACTCCTCACTCTGTGCTCAGGAATTACTCCTGGCGGTGTTGGAGGGACCATATGGGATGTTGGGGATTGAACCTGGTCTACCACATGCAAGGCAGGCACCTTTACCTGCTATACTATTGCTCTCGTCCCCAGGAGTTTATAATTCTTGAGGGCATATTCTGTCCTTCATCGAGGTTTATGTTTTTTCTAGGGTCGGGGTCAGGTGGAGGAATGGCTCTTTAGTAGGCTGGGTTTTGTGTAATTCTGTGGCCAAGTTAATAAGTGAAATAAGGTATGCATTATTATAGGGTGTCAATGAAAATTTCATCAGATCTTATTACAAATATAGACTGTCTTCTGTGTTTGTGGGAAGCGTTCTAGCTAGGCTGAGGCAACAGTACAGGACAGGACATGGCAAACATCCTATAAAGGGTCAGCTGGTTTAGGTTTTGTTGACGGTATGATTTCAGTTGAAACTGCTTAACTAGGATGGAACATGGAAGCAACCAAAGCCAGTACATGAATGAATGGCCAGGGCTGTGTCCTAAGGCAACTTTATGGACCTAACCATGTAAAATTCACATAATTTTCATGTTTTGAAATGTAACATAAAATATAGCTTATTTTTAGATAAGATAAAGATATAAGATGGACTGGGAGACAGCTCAAGGGTTAGAGCAGTGGTCCTCAACCACCAGCCTATCTACTGGTGGTGGTGTACAGGTGTAGAGAGTTGCAAACGACCAGTCTGCTGCAGTGGTTCTAACCGCCTGTCTACAGACCAGTCTGCAGACAGGTGCAAAGGTTGAAGAACACTGGACTACAGCACGTGCTTTGCATGTGGGGGCCCTGGGTTTGGCAATCCCAGGTGTTGTCTGGCCCCCAAAGGTTGCCAGGAGCCAGTCTCGAGCACAGAGCTTAGAGCAGTCCTCAGTGCTGCCAGATGTATCCAGCCCCCAAGACACTCCTGCAGAAGACATAAGAACATGCTACAGGACATGCACAGTGCCTTGTCTTTTGGCCTTTCCTCAAATATTAACCACGGAGTTACCATATCCAACAATCCCACTCAGAGGTTTTTCAGTTCTCTCAATCCTGCTCGAGATAACCGAGAAAAAAAAAACAACCCAAAACATGTTCACACAAAAATTTCCAGCAGCATTTTTTATAATTGTCAGGAAGTGGAAACAACCTAAATTCCTAGCAATGAAGGAAATGTTTATCAAAGTTTAGCCACAAAGGAACAAATTACTAGTAAATGCCACACTGTGTGAGCAAGAATGAAAGCAGAAACAGTCTTGTTGCAAAAGTGCCACAGATTGGATTCCGCTTCTGTGAAATGTCTAGAATAAGGAGCAAATGAATGGTTCTTAGAGCTCAGGAGTGGAGCTCAGTGTAGTTTCTTTTATTATTTATTTATTTATTTTTATTAGTGAAACACCATGAGGTACAGTTGTAGACTTACAAATTTTTGTGCTTGGGTTTCGATTATACAACGATCAAAAACCCATCCCTCCCCCAGTGCCCATTTTACATCACCACGGGTCCCAGTATCCCTCCCACCCCCCATCTCCCCATTCCATCCTGCCTCTGTGGCAGGGTATTCCCTTTTGTTCTCTCTCTCCTTTTGGGTGTTGTAGTTGGACAGTGTAGTTTCTTTCTGGAGCTCGAACATGTTCTTGATATAGAGGATGGTGATGGATGCCCATTCCAGACTGAAAACCCCTGAGCTGTGCACTTTATTATTATTATTATTATTATTATTATTATTATTATTATTTTGAGTTTGGTGGTCACTCAGGACTTATTCCCAGCTCTGCGCTCAGGGATCATTCCTGGTGGAGTTCAGGGGACTATATGGAATGCTGAGAATCAAACCTGGTCAGTTTCCTGTAAGGCAAGTGCCCTACCCACTGTGCTATCTCTCTGGTCTCTGAGCCATGCACTTTATCGTACTTTTTATTATTTATTTAGTTAGTGTTTAAGGGGCCACACACCCAGCGGTGTTGAGGGGGTTGCTCCTGACTCTTTAATTAGGAATCACTCCTGGAAGGCTCAGGGGACTGTCCGGGATGGCAGGGATCAGAACATGGGGCTGCTGTGTGCAAGGTAAGCGCCCTACCTACTGTACTATCTCTCCGGTCAATAGCTGTGCACTTTAATGCACTGTATTTTATGGTGAATTTATGTGAACTGTATCTTAGCAATACAATTATTTGAAAATATAAAAGCCATTTTTAGAGACCGGCTGGATAGAAACAGATGGCAGGCTGGACATGCCCTGTGGGCGGGGTGTCATGTGGTCTGGCACCTGGAAGGATCTGGGCTTGCCTGCCTGGGCAGGGCATTTGCAGGATACATCTCCAGCTGACTCTGAAGGCAGCCTGGCTGAGAAAGTTTGCTTCTTGTTTTTAAATTTTTTTTCTTTTATTGAGGTAAAATGACTTATTGTTATTCACAGCAGAGTTTCAGGCATAAAATGTTCCAGCACTAATCCCATCACCAATTTCAACTTCCCTCTACCAATGTCCCCAGGTTCCCCCCTACACACTAGCCCTCCTCCTTGACAGGCATTTTTATTTGAAGTTTGGATCTTCTGCGTTCAGTCGTATTGGTTCTGTGACTCAGATCTATAGACATGCCACAGCTCTACACTGCCCATGTGTCCAGGACTCCTGTCCCCTACCTGCCCCCTGCTACCCCATATTTTTGATTTGGGGGGCCACACCCAGCAGTCCTCATGGCTTACTCCTGGCCCTATGCTCAAGAATCACTCCTGGAAAGGTTTGGGTGACTGTATGTCGTGCCGGGGATTAGACTTGAGATGGCCATGTGCAAGATGTGTACTCTACCTGCTGTACTATCTCTCCGGCTCTGGAAAGAATCCACTTTGGGAGACCTCCTCCTTGTTATCAAAGATTCCAAGAATTCATTGCATCCCTTAGAATTATCACAGTTCAGCCTTGAGTTAAAAAATTTGAATCTGGCTCAAAGGACTGAGCACACACTTTGCATGTGGGAGCCCCAGGTTTGATCTTCAGCATCACAGCGTCCCCCAAGCACCACTGGCAATAATTCAGATAAATAAGTGAATAAACAAAATAATCGCTATATTAAAAATTAAGATTTGCAGTGTTGCAATTCTAGGTTTTATTTTGTTTTTGTTGTTCAGTTTAGTTTTTTTTTTTTTTTTTGCCACATTTAGTGGTGCTTGGTGGCTATTCTCTAGAGACTCCAGCATGTGAAGCTGGAGTTTTCTTTTTGAGCTATCTCAAGGACCTGCTTTTTTTTTTTTTTGGATTTTTTGAGTCACACCTGACGACACACAGGGGTTACTCCTGGCTCTGCACTCAGGAATTACCCCTGGTGGTGCTCAGGGGACCATATGGGATGCTGGGAATCGAACCCGGGTCGGCCGCGTGCAAGGCAAACACCCTACCCACTGTGCTATTGCTCCAGCCCCAAGGACCTGCTTTTTTGATTGTTGATAGTAATTCCTCTTAATTCAAGATAAGGCGGGGAAAGGTGAATTTCTGCCAATATTGTTTGTACATATATAATAAAAAGACTTGAGGGGAGTGTCTCGTAGCCATGCTCAGGGACCCTGAGAGCTATTCCTGGAGATGCTTGGACAGCGGGACTGCACGTTTCAGTGCTATGGTCAGTGGCAGTGCTGCTTGAGCCCAGCTGTGTTGGGGCCAACAGTACCACATCCTGTGGTACTTGGGGGCCGTGCGGTGCTGGGGATTGAACTTGGGTCCCATGTGGGTGAAGCATGCAGCTCTCACCACTGGATTAACTTCCTGGCTCTTAAATAAAAACTTTGGTGGGTGGGGAGCACACCTGATGGTACTCATTAGCTCTTGTCATTGTCTTAGTTGTGGTGACAGGCTCGGTGGGGCAAGGAGAAGAGGTTATGGGCCTTCTGAGACTTGCTTTTGCTCTCCCATAGGAAGGAAAGAGAACGGCGGCCTCAGTTTGGCCCAAGTGAATTGCGAGAGCAGACTTTTGGGTCAGATCCTGTGAGCAGTGGCGAAAGGACTCCTGGAACAGTTGGAAGGCCCTAGCCTCTGTCCCGAGGAGGAAAATCAGCCTGGTGTATAGGTCTGGGGGGAGGTCAGGAACACCTTGGGTGTGACGAGGTGGGACTGTGCTGAACCAATGAAACCTCCTCAGTGAATTTAACACCATGGCTGAGGTCTTAACTCTGTCAATAGTTTTTTAGAGCAAATCACCCTAACACTTGGTAGCTCCAAACAACAAATGCTCATTATCTCACACCATGACCTTCCCGCTTTTTGTTTTTCCCATACAATCTCTGAGAGTCAGGAATCTGGGTGTGATAGTCTGGCCCAAGGCCCCTCAGGAGATTGTTGACCATTCCCGGCCTTCCCTCATCTGGGAATTTGACTGCCTCTCTCAGGAAGCCTTAGCTCCTTGGGCATGGGCTTTTCCATAGGGTGGCTTGAGGCTGCCACCTGCCATCCCTCCTCGCTGTTGTCCCCACTTTACCCCGTATGTGACCCAAGAGAAGCTGTGCTGCATTTCTGACCTGGTTTCCAAAGCCACACACTGTCTCTTCTGCTGTGTTTTCTCTGTTAGAGCAGGTCATGGCCTGCTCACAGAGGAAAGGGGAGGAAGGTTCCATGAGACAAAGGGAGTTAAATTCCATCTCTTGGCAATAGTGGCAAGGTATTTGTGGGCACATACTCAAAACAAGCACACTCTTCCCCCTGACTGGTGGTGACCTGTGACCTCCAAGTCACCCCAACAAACCTAACTAACCTCTGCCTTCCCTCGACTGCAGTTCTCAACATCAGCACCTCAGTGCAGCTAGCGGCCTCCATGCCACCAGGATTCCAGCCAGCGCAGACTCCAGACCCTGCTTCTCCTGTTGCCTATTTCCCGTACTTCAACAGAACCTACCTGGCAGTGGCAGCATCACTCAATGGGGGCAATGTGCTGGCCACTTTTGTCCACATGCTGGTTGAGTGGATGGCAGATCTGGGTAAGTATAAAGAGAAGAGCACCCATGCCCTCTGCCCTCCCACCCTTCCCCGCCTACCTGACAGTATCTTGGAGTTGAATACAGTGTTGCAGCTATTTTTTTTTCTTTTTGGGTTACACCCAGCGATGCTCACGGGTTATTCCTGGCTCTGCACTCAGGAATTACTCCTGGCGGTACTTGGGGGACCACATGGGATGCCGGGGATCAAACCCAGGTTGGCTGCGTGCAAGGCAAACGCCCTACCCAGGCTATGCTATCGCTCAGGCCCCAGTGTTGCAGCTTTTAGATTCATATTACAGCCCCAGCCAGTTTCAGCATATTCCTTCCTTCCTTTGGGATCTGAGCTTAAAGACTTCCCTCTCATCTTAAGAGCTGCCTTCTCTCTCTCTCTCTCTCTCTCTCTCTCTCTCTCTTTCTCTCTCTTTCTCTCTCTCTCTCCTCCTCCTCCTCCTCCAAAGGGGTAGCTTTCTCCCTCACCTTAACTGTGCATGCTCAGGGCTTCCTCCTGGCTCTTTGCTCTGGGATCACTCCTGGCAGGCCTTGGGGACCCTATGGATTGACAGGGACTGAACCCAAGTTCGCTGTGTGCGATGCAAATGTCCAGTCCTCTATACTATTTCTCCAGCCCTCTTTCTTTCTTTCTTTGTTGATATATTCCTGAGTCCCTTGCATTTGAGGTTTCCTTCTGGTGACCACAGACAGCTAAAAATAAAAATGATCAAGCATAAATGAGTAATAAGACTCCTGGGTACTTTCACAGTGTTTAGAAATCCTTAAGGCATATATTGGCAAGTAGTTCCTGATTCTCTTTCTTGGTGCCTAGAAACTGCAGTGCCTGAATGCTCTCTCCATTAACCCCGGGGAGAGGGGTCAGGCCACTTCTGTTCTGCAGTTAGAAGGAAACGTGAATCATCCTTCCAGGTGAGGGTCCTTTTCCACATCCGGAAGGTAGATATGAAGTTTCTCAGCCATAGAGGACCAGAGAAATTATGGACCTTCACCCTGTATATATGCTGGTCACCCTGTAGCAGCTCAGAATCAGACTTTTCCAGAAAGAGTCCAACATAGTCAAGTGGTTCAGCACAGGCAGCACAAGTCATGTGGGATGCTCACGCTGGTGGTGTAGGCCGAGAGTTGCAGATCAATGTTGGTCATTCAGATGTTAGGATTTTTTTTTTCTTTTTGACTCACACCCAGCGATGCTCGGGGTTACTCCTGGCTCATGCACTCAGGAATTACTTCTGGCAATGCTTGGGGGACCATATGGGATCCTGGGAATGGAACCCGAGTCGGCCACATGTAAGGCAAATGCCCTACCCGCTCCAGCCCCAGATGTTGGGATTTGAGAGGCATTCTGTCTCTGGCTGGAATCTTGGAACACGCTAGTGGAAAAAGGGAACTCTTATATTGTTGCCTTGCATCAGAAAAGGTTTCCAAGATGCACAACCAATTCCAAGAACTTCCAGGCAATCCTCTTGTGGAGATTAGGTCTATCCATTGTTTACAGAATTGGCCAGTGCTTTGAAGAAACTAAAGCAACCGAAGTCTCTTAACTTTGAGAGACGTTTCTCTGGAATATCCTTTCTAAAAGAAAAGGCTTTTGCATTTTCCATTGCTTTGATTTCTATGAAACACAATCTTGAAGGTTAATATTTCATGTGACAACCTATTATGAAATGTCATTTGAAAAAATAGCTAGATATAAGTAGAATAAAATTTACTTAGATAAAAATATTCCATTTAACAATCAGATATGAAAATATTAAAGTATAACAAGCCTCCTGGGGCCTGAGCACTCACTCAGAAGGCTAGTGTGCGTGCTCCGCATGAGGGAGGCCTGGATTTGATCCCAGGCTTCTCATAGTCCCCTGAGCACCAGAAGCGATTCTCCAGCACCAAGCATGGAGTGGCCTTTGAAAACTGCTGGGTGTAGCACCCCAGAAAACAGGACAACCCCTTCAAAACACCCCCCCTAAAACTTGTTCCACTCAGGGTCCCTAAGGTTTGCTTTGTCTTCCTCAGGTTTGAAAACAATTTCCATCTTCCTGTAGTAGATCAGAGTAGGGAGTCCCATCTGGCTGCTTAGGTTTTCTGTTGCTTCTTTGACACTTTGGGCAGATTCCTTAACATCTCTTCTCTCATCTGGAAGGAGAAATTGTCCTATATCACTTATTTATTTATGTTTGGTTTTTGGGATCATAGCCCACAGTGCTCAGGGCTTCCTCCTGGCTCTGTGCACAGGGATCACTTTTGGCGCGCTTGAGGGACCAGATGGAATGCTGAATATTGAACCCTGGTCGGCCATGTGCAAGGCAAGTGCCCTACCTGCTGTACTATCACTCCAGCCCCCCGTCTTACTTTGAAGGACTGTGAAGATTAAATGACTTAACACAGTGAAGCACTTAGGATAGTGTCCAGTCCATACTAAGTGCCATGTAAGGGCTGCATTGCAGAATGTGGTGAGTCCACCCCAGGAGAGCAACCTGCTTCCCAGCTATATTCCTCCACTGTTCTTTAACCTTTCACTTCCATGTTCCCCAAACTCTGATTGTCTGTGGTTCTAAGTCCATGGAATGGATCCTTGGCAACTTATAACATCCTACTGAGGGCAGTAAAGTATTTGGTTTTGATGTAGGTGGGTGGATAGAAAAGGGCCCCTAGGGTAATGAAATTCTTGGTGAGTAATAAAACCAATAGCCTCTAAGGTACAAAGAGCTCAAGAGCCTGATGAGACTTCACCTCATGGGCCCAGAGAAGGGTGGACTCCCCTTGGAGAGAAGCTCAGGCAGAAACAAAGGCTAGGAAAGGAATTTCAGAGGACGATCAACCACTCCCAACTCTACCCCTTGGCATTCACCCTAGCAATGGACTCTTACTTAGATAGACGCACCATATGGGGCAGCTTGGGAAAACCCCAACACAAGTCACCTTGAACAAAGGAAGTGCCTACATCTGCTGCCCGAGCCCATGTGCTGCTTGTACTCATGTGACTGAGCACATGTGTTGCCTGAGCACATGTATTGCCTGCATATCCCCTCTTGAGAGTGTACTGAACCTCTCTCCATCTCTGGAAAAGCCCACATTCTCTCTTGAACGTGTTATTCCCCTCCCTTTTCTCTCCATTCCTGTTCCTAAAACCCTCCAAATAAAATCTTATTTTTACTTCACTGTTTATCTCCTTTTCTTTTCTGTGAGATAGGACGATGACCTGGAAGACCTGGGTAAGAGCTAGATCTGTCTTTCCTTTCCTGCAAGAACAATTCCTCACTCCAGCCTGAATCCATGGAGAAATCAGATGGTGGGGATCAGCTCCTACGCCTAGAGGTCAAGAGGGCATCAGGTGTGGCTCGATGGCCACCTAGCGGGGCTGGCAGGGCTCTGGCCTGTGCTTCCTGGGGCTCATCCACAGGATTTATCAGTCCCAGCTAGTCCTGGGGTGGCACAGGTGGATCAGGGGAAAATGACCATCTCTTTCCTCTCTGCTTCACATAAGCCACCTACGGGGACCCATCAACTTCAGAGGTGCATATATCTTTTTGAGTTAGTGTTTTCATGTTCTTCAGATATATACCTAGGTGTCATTTTTGATCTTTTGTGTTTGGGGGATGTACTCAGGGGTTCTCAGTGGGGCTGCTCCCTTCTCAGTGCTTGGGGGTTGCACCTTGTGCTGCAACTTTTTCAGTCCTACCCACAGCCCGAGGGACTGTGTTTTGGACTCAAACCCAGATCTCCTGCATGCAAAGTATACAACTGGTCTTTTGCACTGTCTTTCTGGTTCCTCAGGTGACTCTGATACTTTTTGGTGTTGGTAAGTACTGATCTAGACCCTTCTTAAAACGATGGACCTTAAGTCAGCAGAGTGACTTCCTCTGGAGCCGATAACAGTTATGGAAGTTCAGGATCTTTCTCAGCTGAATTTTATTAAGATCACTAAGTGGTTTGTTTTCAAATGTGAAAAGCATTTGGATTGGTGGTTGTCAGCCTCTGCCACAGGAGTGGGCAGTCCTGTAGTCCTGGGATTTCTATGACACATCTAATAAGTATGTATTGTACTGATGTGCATTGATCATTAAGTCATGATATATATTGATCAGTGTGTTGCATTTGGCTCTTTCAGGACCACAGGTTCCTTTGCAGTGTTGCAGTGGTATGGTCAGAGTGCTACCATTCTATAAACCCAACCATCCCGTCCCTTCAGTATAACAGTTTTTACATCTCTCCAGATGTCTGGATAAGGGCCTGCATCGAGAGAGCTGGCTGGGCTCTGGGGCAGAGCATGGCTAGCCAGCCAGACTGTACAAGACCCTGAACCTGGAAGCAGCCAGCTACCAGAAAGGATTGCTCCACCCTAAACAGAAAGAAGAGCAAAGACACCTTTCCCCACTCCTTGGGAGTTCTGTACTGCCTCACCCAGCTTCACGGGGTTGCATGAGCTGACACATGTCTGTGTCCCTGGCAGGTCTGCATGTTGAAGAGTCCACTGTGTATTCACGCATGATCCAGGCGGCTGCACAGCAGAGAGATACCCACCTAACCATCACCCCGACAGTGCTGGGTGAGAGGCATCTGCCTGACCAGCTGGCCTCTGTGACCAGAATCTCCTCCTCTGACCTCTCCCTGGGGCACGTGACCCGGGCGCTGTGCCGAGGCATCATCCAGAACCTGCACTCAATGCTTCCCTTTCAGCAGCTCAAAGAGTGGGGTGTGGAACGGGTTATTGGGAGTGGAAGTGCACTATCTCGGAACGAGGTGCTGAAGCAGGAGGTGCAGAGAGCTTTCCCTATCCCAGTGTCTTTTGGGCAGGATGTGGATGCAGCCACGGGGGCAGCTCTGACCATGCTCCAAAGAAACCACAAGCAGGAAAAGATTTAGACAATAGATTCTTTGGCCAAAGGATTGATGCAGATTTTTATCAAATGAACATGTTTATGAAATGAACATTCCTGACATGATTTGGGATCAACCTCGTAGCTGGCTCTGTGGACAGCTTTAAATGCCTGTTTCCAATGGCGTGCCCTCTTGAACAAGAACCCATTCTGAGAGAAGACTTTAATTTTGCAGCCAGGAAACACCAATCAGATCTTATATCATTACCTCCTGAAAGACACTCACTTTGGAGCTGGTTGCTAGTGTAGTTGTAGGAAGAAGATAGAGTGGAAAAAAAGAAGAGGGGTTCTGGTTCCCAGCGTCTCAGTCAGCAGGCTATCCGGTGATTCTCCTACAGACAAAATGAAGAAAAGGAGGGATTCTAGACACCAATATCTGGTGGTTGTAAGGCTCCAAGTGAAGGAAAAAAAAATCTCAGCCATTCCTTCCTCTATAGCTAGACTTTGCATCAATTGTTATTTTTAGGACATGAATCTTATACTTAGGACTGTTGGAAAATTTCTTCCAACCTGGGTGGGAGTATGTAGCCCTTTGCCATCTCATTCTCCCCTTCCAGATAGCTCGGACAGCAGATGACCCAAGGCCCATGAAACAGGCTGGCTTGTATGGGCCCACAAAGATGCAACCTCAGTGCTGGAGCAATAGCACAGTGGGCAGGGTATTTACCTTGCATGCGGCTGACCTGGGTTCGATTCCCAGCATCCCATATGGTCCCCCGAGCACTGCCAGGAGTAATTCCTGAGTACATGAGCCAGGAGTAGCCCCTGTGAATCTCCGGGTGTGACCCAAAAGAAAAAAAAAGATGCAACCTCATGTGTGTACTTCCCTGTCCCCCACCCAAGGAAACCCAGCAGTACTCTGGCTGCTCTTGATCCTTATAATATAGCTCACTTGAAGGCACAAAGCAGTGAAGGAAGGTGTGGCCAGCAAAGGGGGAGGGATGCTGCCTGCCCCGTGTCCAGTAGGACCCTTTTCCCGGAGTGTGTCTGTGCAGAAGTGGGCTTTTGTTCCTGCAGGTTCATGTGAAGCTTTGCTACAGGGCATGCTCCTGCCAGACGGTGTGGCCAACTGAATTCCCCAGAACCCTTAATCTCCAGCTCTTTCTCTGGGGCAGGCCTTATAGACTCCTTGTCTCGGGCTTGTGAAAACTTCCTATTTGAGATGACATCTCAGGGCACCTTGTTAGGGATGTCCAAGGACAGGGAGGACCTACCCTCACCCCAGGCCAGGCAGGCCTGACTTGGAGGCAACTGGGAAGTAGGAGGATTGTTTGGGAAACTGACATTTTGTCTCTTTGTCTGTGGTCACTTTATCAATTATGTGATTGTTGAAAATTCTTAAATATATCTTCTTGACTATGCTGATTGACTTCAGATCATAAAGCTGTTGTTTCCAGATTATGTTCCTTTACTTAATTCTTTTTCTTTAAAAAGTTTTATTTTCTAGGGAAGCAAGGTCATTTTTATTGAATGGAGCTTACTTAGAAAGAGTGAAAAAAAAAATTGTGTTGCACAATGGCTTCTCCAGAGTGGAAAAAACCCAAAGAAACATAAAGACAAGCAAGCTAGATAGTGTCCAAGGGGGACTCCAGGCTTAAAGAGCAGCTGAGTGTCTTTTTAGTAAGTCAGAGCCTCTCTGTTCCCAGAAGACTACAGGTTACAGCACAGCTGTAGAGAGAGGGAGGGCTGGGAGGATAGATTGTAAGTTATTCAGTGGGAGAGCCTTGCCCCTGGCAGTCACATGGGGACAAGTGACAGATCATTCAGGGAAATTACAGAATTTTTCTCTGGGTCAGAATGAGTTAAAATACACTGTTTCAGAAGAGTTGAGGAAGGCTTGATGGAAGAACAGCCCCCACTCCTGTACCTCTTTCACCCCCTGAAAAACTGCTAACAGCTCAGTCCATCAGGAGGAAGTGGCCTGCAGAAACCAAGGTTTAAATCCTTGCATATCGCTGACCCCGGTTTGAATTCATGAGGCTGTGCGTGCTGCACTCTCTGATGCAGTGTTTGGAGTCTATAGGGTAAAGGATTAGGAACTGGTGGTTAGTCCCTGCAAACCTGGGCAGCCCAGACAGTGCATCAGGGCTCTCTGCTCTCTCTCCAGACCAGAAGTCCTTTCAGCCTCCAGTGCTGGAGCCTCCCTCACCTTTTGTGGGCTTGTCAGGGCACAATTCTGCTGCAGTTTCTAGTATGCATGGGTTGCAGGAACTTGAAGCTGTAGGGCTGCATTTCCCAGCCTTTAGCCACAAACCACTTAGAGCAGGGGTTCCAATAAGAGTCTGAGGGGCTGGAGCAATAGTACAGCATAGAGGGCACTTGCTTCGCTTGAAGCCACTCCAGGTTTGATTCCCAGGATCCCATAAGTTTCCCCTGAGCACTGATCTTTGAGCACAGAGCCAGGAGTCAGTCCTGAGCACTGCCGGGGTCACCCAAAACACAGAAAAAGAAAAAAAGAGAGAGCTTGAGACCAGCATGCACATCAAGGGACTCCTGTTGTATTTGGCCATTGTACTATCTATGCCCACTAGCACTAGGGACAGTCCCAATGTCCTGATCTCATAAGCATGAGGCACGCTTGTATTTTCTCACCAGATTTGGCCTAAATGCAAACAAAAGTGTGTTTCATGGATGTGTAGAAGACTTTGGGGGTGCTAGTGAGAGATTTACCATCCTCTCTTTCCTTTGCACAGTGACTTGTGATGTCTGAGAGTACAGACCCTGTCAGTAGGGGTTCCCCATGAGGGCGAAGTAATGCAGCCCCTCACCAGAGAGCCTTACAGAGTGCAACAGAGTAACACTGCTAGATATAGCTAAAGCCACTGAGATTTGGAGGTGGTTTGTTTCCATGCTAGGTTCAGACTCAGAGAGAGAGGGGAGAGAGGAGAGAGAGGGAAGGAGAGGGAAGAGAGAGAGAGCGCGAGCAGGATTTTTTTGTTTTGTTTTGTTTTGTTTGCGTTTTGGGTCACACCCAGCGATGCTCAGGGGTTACTCCTGGCTCTGCACTCAGGAATTACTCCTGACTCCTGGCGGTGCTCAGGGGACCATATGGGATGCTGGGATTCGAACCCGGGTCGGCCACATGCGAGGCAAACACCCTACCCGCTGTGCTATCGCTTCAGCCCCAAGAGCGAGCAGGTTTTAACCCCTGACACCACATATGGTCCCCTGAGTATTGCCAGGTATACAGACCTGACCTCAGAGCCAGGAATTGTCGCTGAGCATGAAGGGCGGGGTGTGGCTCAACTTTCCTCCCCCATAAAAATACAAATAAAACAGTTTATCCTGTTCACTGCAGCCACAATTGATACTGTGCCCAAGAGGTTTCATGTGTGCCCGGCAGGTGGCTGCTGGGTATGGTGAAGTGCAGTAGAGTTCCTGTGAGTTTGAGAAGTGCCTCGAGGGGCATGCTTGGTCTCTGCCCTCAGCCACAATTCCGTGCACACACCACATTTGTGAGAGCGAGAGTTTTTTAGTACAGAGACGCGCACTTGCATGACTCATGACTTATGAAACATTAAGCAAATCTTGCTTTTTTTTCCATTAAAAAAACAATTAGACCCTCCAGCTAATGGCCGGATGCAGCTCAGTAGTCTGCAAAAGTGATTCTTATCCTGACATAATAACAGCAAGAACAATGATCTCTTATGCTGGCCTGAAGCTTTACTGGCTCACATTCACTCCCACTGTAGCACTGTAGTACTGTCCTCCTGTTGTTCATCAAGTTGCTCAAGCGGGCACCAGTAACGTCTCCATTGTGAGACTTGTTGTTACTGTTTTTGGCATATAGAATACGTCATGGATAGCTTGCCAGGCCATGCGGGCGGGAGAGTCTCAGAAGCTTGTCGAGCTCCCTGAGAGGGACAAAGGTATTGAACCCGGGTCGGACGTGTGCAAGGCAAAGGCCGTACCGGCTGTGCTATCGTTCTGCCCTAACCTTTCTAATCCCCAGAAAAGCCCTGCAGAGCAGGCAGGGCCAGTGTCTCGACTATTTGGTGGATAAAGGCAGGCCTAGAGCTTCAGAGATCCACCCAAAGGCAGGCAGCCAGCGCCTGATCTGTCCTGCCACTTTGACTACAGACCTTGACTTCCCACTGCTTCTCCGCTCCCTGTCCCCGCTCTGGCCAAGCTCTGCAGAGCAGAACTCAGCGGTCTGGAGCAGAGTGGATGCCCCATCCCTCCTGCCTCAGACAGTCTGCTCTACCTGATGTCAGTGGGCCCCACGGATGACTTATGTGAAGCAGGGAGGAGAAAGACGGTCACTTTCTCCCAATCCGCCTCTACCACCCAGGACCCAGGATTACTGGGTTCTTGTCTCTCCTTGCAGAAAGGAATTTTAGGAGTAGACAGACAATGAAGGAAACAGATTTTATTTGGAAGCTATGAAGAGAAGGAGGAAGGGAAAGTGAGTGACATGCACAAGAGAGAACGCGGACTTCACCAAGGGTGGAGAGAGAGAGCTTCTACACACATCCCAACATAGATATGAAAGCATGAAAGTACACATCTCAAGAGGGGAGATGTGGGTAAGGCACTTGCCTTGCACATGGCCAACCCGTGTTCCACCCCTGGACCTGCATATGGTCCCCTGAGTCTTGCCGTGAGTGATCCCTGAGCACAGGGCCAGGAGAAAGCACTGAGCATAGCCAGGTGTGGCCCAACAACCAAAACCCAAAAAAGCTCAAGACAAGTTGTCACTGTCTTTGGATGAGTTGTAGACACTTGAGAGCTGAACTGCTCGTCCTGGGGCTGGCACCACCGAGCCTGACACCCCTCGTTCCTCCAGATGTTCCAGGCTGACGGTTCCTGACTTTGGTAATCAGGTCTTTTCAGCACACGGTAATATAGGCAGGTAGGTTAGGGAAGCCCCCTCTCCCCACACACACATCATAGCAGTGAAACTTCTGGAAGTAATAAAATCACCAGTCCTAAGTCTGACCCACCTTGTAGATACATAAAGGAAGACCTGAAAGACCTCCAGCAGCCGACCTTGAGGAGACTGGACCCCTCCCTACAGAAAGGGCCTGAAGGAAATTACTGGAGGACCCTCAATTCTTTCCTTTAATCTGATTAACCCTCAGCTAGCCCAGACCAGAGAAGGATGGACCAACCCTCCAAGAAAGATCCTTAAGGAGCAAAGGTCAAGAAAAGGAGTTTCAAAGACAACCACTCCCAACTCTACCCGCTTAGCAACAGCTCTAGCAAAGGACTCTTATCTAGCTAGAAAGCCCCATGTGGGGGCAGCTTGGGAAAACCCTATAAAAGTCACCTTGAACAAAGGGAGGGCACGCATATGAGTCCACGTGGCCAAGCTCATGTATTGCTTGCATCTCTCTTTTTTTAAATTGCAATGTTTATTTATTTATTTTGCTTTTTGGGTCACACCTAGCGATGCTCAGGGGTTACTCCTGACTCTGCACTCAGGAATTACCCCTGGCGGTGCTTAGGGGACCACATGGGATGCTGGGAATCGAACCTGGGTTGGCCGCATGCAAGGCAAATGCCCTACCTGCTGTGCTATTGCTCCAGCCCTGCATCTCCCTTCTTGAGATGTGCACTTTCATGCTTTCATATCTAATGCTGGGATGTATGTAGGGGCTCTCTCCACTTTTGGAGAAGCCCACATTCTCCCTTGAGCTTGTTACTCTCTCGCTTTCCCTCCCTCCTCACCTTCAAAAACCTCCAAATAAAATCTGTTCTACTTCACTGCTCGTCTACTCCTGAAATTCTTTTCTGCAAGGTGAGACAAGAACCTGGTAACCCGGTAACCTTGGATTTGGTCTGGGACTGACTTTCCTTTCTTGCAAAGAGTAATTTCTCATTTCAACCTGAGTCTGTGGCTCCCTGAGAAATCAGGTAGCACGAACACTGAGTGAATATCAAATGTGGCTTGATGGCCACCTGGTGGGGCTGGGGGGGGGGGCAGGGAGGGCTCGGGCCCATGTGGAGCAGGGGCTCATCGCAGACTCTATCAGTCTTAGTCTTCCCAGTTGGGTCTCCGGGTGGCAGAGGTGGATCGGGGGAAAGTGATTGTCTCTCTCCTCCCCGCCTCACATAAGCCATCCGTGGGGTCCACCGATATCAACAGGAGTCTGCTGGACTTTAGCTATGCTGGGATGTTTAACTTCAAATCTGTGAGGAGCCCAGGTGGATGAAAATAATAAATTGGGCTCTGTTTGCCGGGTCAAGGGCTCAGGTTAAGTTACTGTGCCCCCTGGTGGTGACTGGAACTGTGGCCATGAGTGATACTGTGTGTTCCTGCTCACACTTGGCCCACCCTCTTCTGCTTATGCTGTCAGAGCTGAGCTCGGAGAGGCACCCATCGCAGAAATCATCTTTACAGCACCATCTACTTACAAGGAATGATAATGAGCACAGCACGGAGCAGCCTGTTTCAATATCACATTGATGTCA